TGATCCACACAATCCCAAGGCCTCGTTCGTCATTGGTCTCCCTATTTTTTTGGAAACTACACAGGCTCTCACAAAAGCTTTGGCACACTCACTTTTGCTTGAGACATGCTCTGAAGCTTTGGCACATTTCATAAAATCTCGAGTGATCCCAAATGTTTCAGAAACCAGAATTTTGACCACAACCCGAATTTGACTGCATGCAAACATATTCAATGAAAAGGGAACTATTTGGTGTTACTAGTGATGTCACTGATCATGTAAATAATGTGTGCTGTGTGATCAAGCTGAACTTGGTTTGCTGTTATTGAAGAGAGTCTGAATGAAGTCTTAAGGATAATAAACTGACTTAACTGAGCAACTATTAGTCGTGTTATTAACCCATTACCTAAGTAACATAATCTAATACTGTATATTTCCCCCATGCTCTGTAGTTATGCAAGTCGTGTGGTTGGCAGTGCTTTGAAAGCCCAGAGGGACAACCCCGAAATTACAGTTCGTAATACGGATCCTGTTCTAAGGGCAGCAAAACAAAGACTGGAGCAGTTGACCCAGGTAACACAAAATCTTTGCTGCACAACTCAACTCAACTCAACTGTATTTATAGAGCACTTTCAAACAGCCATCGCTGCATACAAAGTGCTGTACATGGAGCAATTTAACAAATACAACAAACAGTAAAGCAAATTGGTAATAAAGAAGGTAAAAAGCACCGAACGGCAAAACCAAGAACAAATCTAAGTCATGCTGAGTCAAATGCCAAAGAATACAAGTGAGTTTTGAGGCGGGTTTTGAAGATGGGCAGCGAGGACAAGATACATTCAAAACATGTGATACGAGTTCTGATGATTGCGATATCGATATTAGTGCAATATCTAAAATGAACCTGAAGAAATAACATTTTTATGATCAAATGAAAATAAATAATTTTTGTATGCAGAAATATTAATTTAATGAGTTACTTAGTCTCTCTCTCTCTCTCTCTCTCTCTCTCTCTCTCTCTCTCTCTCTCTCTCTCTCTCTCTGGCACATTCCATTTTCTTACTATTTAATTCCTACAAAACCACTTTAAAACAAAGAGATCGTCTCCTTTTCCCAGGAACATCATAGGCTTCTTGGTTTTGGGGGGACTGATTAGCTTGGTTCCAGAAATGCTTTGTGCCAGCAAAGTCCTCGAAACTTCAGAAGGACAAAAGTGTGTCTCTGAGTGTCTAATGTGTCTTGACCCTCATGTGTTATCACCACTTGAGTGAAGTGCTGCTTAAATGCAATACATTTAAATGTCACCATTGCAAGCATATGTTGATAATGACGTTCGGTAATGCATTAATTCAGCAATTACAACAGATTTATGCGGCACTCTCAAAGCTTTTGACAGGTTGGTAATATGCTGACAGGATTTGCAATGATTATTCATGAATCATCCATCAAGGTCATTTCACAATGATGCCGCTTGTGTCCAATACTCTTAATTGACAGTGACACTGCTCGACAGTTGTCAAACTGATAAGGAGTGTACCTTGACATATGAGTTCAATTCTCTCAAGCTCGTTACCAAATTAAATCCTATTTTAAATCACCTTTCCCCACTGGAATGAATGGAAGTGTCATAACTATATACCAACCAACAAAATAATAATTACATTCATTTGTAATCCAACGACTAATAATGATACTATTATTTATGAAAACAGCCAGTAATAACATCATTTAAGGAATAAAAGGAATTAAATGGCGCAGTGGGTGACTGGTTTGCACATCCGCTCCCAGTTCTGAGGTTTTGACTCCGAATCCATCCTGTGGTTTTCAACTTCTCCCTGTGCTGCTGTGTCAGCCTAATGAGTGCACTCGATATAGAAACTGGATGGCTCGATGATAAAGAATTAAAATCGTTGCATTTTCATGCTTCTCCTTCTGGTATCCACGCCATGGCCACCAGGGGGCAGCATAACACATACAGCCATAGTAAGCATAGGTTTGCTGTTGAAACACAAAGAAGATGACTGTAAACTGCTGTAATATGACTTGGGGCCTCTTCGGATTGTCGTTCTTGCCAAGGAAATATCCTTTCTTATCTTATCCTAGCGTAATGACCTCGAAATACTTGGTGAATGGGATTGTTTTAATTCCACAAATGCTTAGGAAAGGAGCCTGAATTCAACCTGTAAGCCCCCTTCAGCAAAGATGATTCTTGACCAACCTTTACAAAAGGATATTACCCACAATTCTTTAGGCAGCAACATTGAAAGCAACATAACACTGGCATATAGTAGTTGGCAGACTATGCCAAGACGCTCGTGTTTCATGCTCAAGACTTTAAGAATAATATGAAGAAAAAAATATAGGAATCAAACTTTTTCTTTTTGTCACAAGTAGCCAAGAAATGTGGCCAAGAAATATATGTTCAAAGCAAAAGGAAAGGTGTGGTTCCACACAAATGTGTTTTTTGGAACCACTTTGCTTATATTTTGTAGGCAACGTTTGCAAGCCACTCGTCATTGAGCAATGACGTCAGTTAGGAAAAGTATTCAATGAGACCATTTTTTTAGAGAGTCATAATTTTTGGTTTTAGAAAATAGATCTTACAACAGGACGGCCTGGTAGTCCAGTGGTTAGCCCGTCGACCTCACAGTGCAGAGGTGGTGTGTTATAATCCGATGCACTTTGTGTATGGATCAATATTTTGATTTCTTGGACGTAGTATTTTAAATGTTCTGTAAAGTGCTTTGTTACAGCTGCAGCCGTTATGAAAGCACGATATGAATAAAGCTACATTGTATTAGGTCGGCCCAGTGGTTGAGTGGCTCGCTCGTCGACCTCACGGTGCAGAGGTCGTGGGTTCGATCCAGGCTCGGGCCTCCCTGTGTGGAGTTTGCATGTTCTCCCCGTGCCTGCGTGGGTTTTCTGTGGGTACTCCGGTCCCCCCCCCTCCCCCACATTCCAAAAACATGCATGGCAGGCTGATTGAACACTGTAAATTGTCCCTCGGTGTGAATGTGAGCGCGGATTGTTGTTCATCTCTGTGTGCCCTGCGATTGGCTGGCAACTGGTTCAGGGTGTCCCCCGCTACTGCCCGATGACAGCTGGGATAGGCTCCAGCACCCCCCGCGACCTTTGTGAGGATAAGCGGATCGGAAAATGGATGGATGGATGGATATTACAGTAACAGTCTTGAAAACATTTCCATACTTTTCCAGACCTGGAAGTTTATGAAAACAAATTCCATACTTTTTGATATACTCCATATTTGAGGAGAAAGCCTGCAATCAACTTGTTTACTAATCAGTCTGCTGATCATGGTAGATGGAATAATATAAATATTGCTCTTGTATATTGTTCCATTGCAGTCTCATGACATAGTGGTGAATCATATCACACGCTCTCGTTTGTCTCCTGTCCCTTCGGACAAGCTGCCAAATGATAACCTTGCTCGCAAAGTGTTGTACCCTACGACTGTTGACGCCACATGTCCGCTGTTGCATGCTGCCCACTGACTCAGGTACAAACCTTGACAATGATCACATCTTTGTATCCTCGAATGCTAAGATTCACACATTGATGGCTCACTGTTGGATGAATAGTCAGTGCAAGCCATGCATGCAGGCAATAAACAATATTTGTCCCAATTGCTTCTGTTCTCATCTCTCTGAAAGCCCCATTTATGGTTTTAAGAAACAAATTCCCATAACCGCAAATGTTCGAGCCTCTTGGATTCTTTAGCAGCATATTATATTGAAAGTTTCCAACGAGACAAAAAAAAACACACACAAAAAAAAAAGAATCTGTATCTATTTGAAAATATCGAGACCATCCCATCTTCAAGTACTAAAAATTAAATAAAACAAAGGAGTTGAGCTGGAAAAGGCAATTCTGATGATAATCTATAATAGGGAAACGGAAATGTCTCTCAATGGGGAAAAGATAAAGATAGAAATTACTTTATTTTGCACTCAATAGTAACTATGGTAAAAGACAGATGTGAGCACTTGGTGTCCAGTCAACGTTTCCATATTTTAGACACAGCCAAATGGAACGTGTTTGTGCATACCTTTCATTTGTTATATATAATTGTAAAACTACATTTAAGGCATTATATTTGTGGCTTGGAAGACAATCAAATCAAAGAACTTGTGAAATATTCACTCCTATTCATGTGTGTTTAGGAACTTTTAGTGGACCTTGATTGGGCACGTGAAGCCAAAAGAAAGGGTGAAGAAGACTACGGAGGGAGCGCAGAAGCAGAAAGGGGCAGTGGAGACGACTGTGACGATGAAGACGGCTGTGAAGCATCTGGTGAGGCTTTTCTTTTTTTTTTTTGTTCTTTTATTTTGCTCATTTCATCAGTGTTTTCACATTGATTTTACATGAATTAACGTTGAGTTTAACAAAACGTATTATGAACAAGAAGGATATGTCACTGAAACTGTAGTGCTCTTTTTTTTCGTAAAGACTAGCATGTAACCTAACGATGAATGCAGGAAAGGTACTGGAGGCAGGCATCACAACAGTACAGTTTTACAATTTACAATATTAATGACAAAAACAAGACATTGACAAACCTTCATTATCTTCCACAGACAATCACTTTCTGCATTTTTGCACTAAATGTTGCAAAGGGAAGAACAACTCATTACGTTTTAGGATTACTCCATCTTACACAGCAGCCATTCCTTCTTTACTTGAGGGGAGCTCTGCCCTCCTCTCCAGTGCCTTTCTACTTGTCGCTCAAATGTCCCAACCTCACTTGTTATGTATCAGATGCATCCCGAATTCTTCAGGGTCTGCTCTATTTGTCATCATGGTGACATGAGGATGTCACAATTGGTCTTACACACAGAGCAGCAGTTATGCATGTCCCTATCACTCGCTTTCTGCCTTCGGTTTGCCATTTCTCATTTCTCTCACCTCAGGAATGCTCAGGGATTAAAACGGATTGTTTTTTTTTCTACTCAGACAAGCACGATCCTCTCCTCAATCCCTCTGCCTCCCCAGACGAGTTCTGTTAGTCAATAATCTAAATATAATCACAGCTTTTTCTCCTCTTGCTACTATTTTATGTAGAACCACAAACTATGATGTTGCGTTTTACAAATGTAACATCACTGACTGACATTACGTTTTATTCTGGAAAATGACAATCATTTTGTTTCTCCAGGTCATTTTGTATACGGTAATTAAAATATATAATTTATCACGACAAATCTGTGTCTAAAACAATCAAATGGTATGTTTGTGTAGGTACGTTTGAATCATTGTAACCATGGTTACCAACTGCTCTTTGGTCTCATCGGAACCTGTTTGGTGACCATGAAAAAAGAAGAGACAGGAAAGTAAGAAAGCAAGGCCAAATTTGTCCCATTTCAAGTCATGAAATATATTTTTTTAGAACCACACTTAATGTCTGAATTAAATGGCCCTAAACAGAAAATATACACAAGAATACCTTGTGGAACTATTTTGTATTTATTCAATCACTGACTTGCACTACAGGTCGAACGGTCGAGCTTTACAAAGTCCAAATGATCTATTTCAAGGGAAATGCCAATATTTTCCAGTGCTCGAAGCCTGCTGAGTTTGATTGACATTTATAAGCATCCATGGTTGTTTGAATGGGACCAGAAAAGTGACAATAAAAGGGAGTCCTTGGTTCAGATTTATCAGTGCTATAAAACTAAAGTGCCTTTTTGTCCAATCCATACACTGTAATAGTGAGGTTGCAAACATGATCAGAATAACATCAGTATGGATATTCAGACTCCCCCATTCCTCATGGGCTACACCAGGGGTATGAAACTCATTTCACATTGTGGGCCACATACGGCCTCGGTCAATGTCAAGTGGGCTGGACCGTTAAAATAATACCATGCTCTGCTATAAACAACAAAAAATATATATATTATCTCTTTCCTTTGTTTTGGTAGAAAGAAGCAAAAGAACATGAGGAAAATGTTGAAATTGAATCAACGTACCTTTTACAAAACATTTGACAAAATGACTTGACTCTCTGTTTCATTTGGCTGTCTAAATCTGCTGATAGGTCCAAAATGCTCTCTGGTATTCCTTGTTAGGCTAATATTGGTAAAAGCTTGTTGGTTCTCGGGACATGAAAGTTCAGCCGCCTTCAGCATGCATCGTTTCACAAAGTCACTATTGGAATATGGCTTTGATGCTCACGCTATTTTGCTAGCAATTAGGTAGCTGGCTTTTAAAGCTGTGTTGGGTCTGTCTCAGTGACAGACTGAAACTGCTGTTGTCTTCTTCTCTAATCAAAACAGTGTTCCCCTAGCGGATGATCCATGAATTGCAGCTTATTAAAAATATTAATTCCGTGTCTTTTATGTATTCTTACACTTTTAAATTATCCTGCGGGCCTGATCGAACCTCCTTTGGGGCCGGTTCCGACCCGCGGGTCGTATGTTTGACACTGCATGTCACAGTCATTGGGAGTTAATACATTCCGATTTGCCTCGATAAGCATAAGTAATAATGCCATTCATATATGGTCACGATCTCCTCTCTTTTCTGTCGGAATACCTTTCAAAGTCATACAATGCACATATTTGCAGTCAACAGTTGATGTATTGACAATAATAAAACTAGACAAGTAGTTCCAAACATTTAATGCATATAAATGATGTAAAACCAATGTCTTCAAAAGTTTAAACATTTACACAACTACCGAAACAAATTTGTATTTTAAAAAAAGAAAACCTGGACAATTGCTGTTTAACAGAAGCTGTTATTGACAGGGTTGTGACCAGTGGCGGACCCTCAGGGCCACCAAGGCCTTCTCTGCTGGCCTAAACATTCTCAGAAAAGTACATTTACGTTTCTGAGAATAACATTAATTTGTTATTTTATTTTCATAAATATGTAAACAAAATTATTCTCTGTATTCTTTACGTCATATTATTTCCACTTAGTCAAATGAGTTTAAATACTCGATAAATAACTTATTTATTATGGTAGAGTTTTTAACCAATCATATTTCAGATAGCTTGCGTTGCCAAGTAAATTAAACTTGCTCGGGGCCTTCAGATTAAACAGAGCAGGCCCCTGTGCGCTGTAAGTGAATGGGCACAGTCAGGTTTCAATAGCCAATCAGATCACGAGACTCGTGATCTGACTCGTCTCCGTACTCGAGCCAGCTAGAAGCCCTTACGTAGAGACTGGCCGTGCGCGTTCGGTGATTGGATTAGCGCCTTTTCTGTTTCCTGAGAATTGTATCCTCACTTTTTCAATAAAGATTCTTTAAAAAAAAAAAAAAAGATTGGATTAGCGCCTGCTAGTTATCACTGCATTTTAACCCAAAATGGCCGAAGGAGAAGACGGTGATCTGAACTACTTTACGCACAATTTTCAAGACAGGCCTTCCACGAAAAGCTGGATATTCTGCAAAGAGGTCGCCGAACTCCTGCGCTAGCTTGCCTGTCGCAGCAAGGAAAAGGTTTGTCCGTCATTTTCAGACGAGCAATTATGAATGCTACCCGTGGCTCACAGCCT